ACCGCAACTTTTGGTGTTTTACACTGCAACTTTGGGTGTTTTACACTGCAACTTTTTCTGTGTTTTACACTGCAACTTTTGGTGTTTTACACTGCAACTTTTGGTGTTTTACACTGCAACTTTTGCTGTGTTTTATACTGCAACTTTTGCTGTGTGGAAAACTTACACCCCTCCCCTTTTTATAATGGACGGTCCCCCTGTCAGGTCAAAGGTGACAAAGATGGCGGCGGCCTGAGAGTCACAGTGTCTACATTTGTATACGAGCGATCGCTGTTTTTGTGTACATTATACGCATGCAAATTATTTGAAGACATATGCAAATTCTTGGTAGGCAAATCAGCCAACTGGCACCCACTTTTTGCCTACGGTGACGTCATGGCGATCGCTCGTATTGTTCCCTAATGATCGATAACTTACCTGAGTCAAGAGTCAACACTTCATAATTGAAAATAAGTCTTTATTGCTTCATAGTACCAAGTGGTGCCACATTTGACTCCCATAAGCCCAATATTTACTCATCAAATTATTAGCGACCTTGCGAGTCCGAATTCTCTAGCTAGAAAATGTCACGTGACTCAAAGGCGGGGAAACGTGGAAGACGAATATCGCCGCATGCAAGCGTTTATGACATCATGCCACGATAGTTTAAGCTAATTACATATTTACGCCTTCAGACAGACATCATTTCTATCATACCATGCGTCGACATCAACACGTAGCGGTGCAAACGTTACCAACATTCACTAGATAGCAACATAATTTGTAATCACTGGACCTGGTCGAAACATTTTTTAATTTATCCCGATCTATAGGCCAAAGCTAGAAAAACCTTTAGAAAAAAACTAACGTCACAACGTAGACAAGCTTTTCCTCTAAAAAACTTATGCACGAAAAGGATAACTCAGTCGACGTAGTTTGCATGCCATCGTTGTCACCTTTGACCTGACAGGGGGACCGTCCATTATAAAAGGAGAGGGGTGTAAGTTTTCCACACAGCAAAAGTTGCAGTGTAAAACACAGCAAAAGTTGCAGTGTAAAACACCAAAAGTTGCAGTGTAAAACACCAAAAGTTGCGGTGTAAAACACCAAAAGTTGCGGTGTAAAACACCAAAAGTTGCGGTGTAAAATTTTGTTCTTGTTGGCCACGGTACAGGACAGTCTGGCACAATCTCTGCTGCAAAGTCTGCCTTGTCCCCCGACGACCAATGTCGGTCATGGGACTAGGTAGGTATGTATGAAGAAGTAACAGCAAAATATGTACAGAATTATCGAGAATCCCAGAATAGTTGACAGTTAATTACCTGCAGTACTCCTGTGGGTCGTTATGGACGTTCCGCTGTGACGTCCTCTGAAAGTCGTCGAAACACTTGCTGACGCCCGCCTGGAACGTGCGCCGGCAGCGGCGGTCTGGCGGGAAGAAAACGTCACAAACTCAGGGCACATTCGTCGCATGATCGATTGCAATTGAGAGCATTCATGGGATAGTCGTGCATGTATCGCATGAACACATGCTGTTCTGTTATCGAAAAGGCTTTCCTAGATCCAAGTAGGTGGTTGGTTCAGTCACAGCCTGGTTAGAAATCCCACAAAATCAAAATCATTTGATCGTACGACAAATCTTACTGCACAGTTACAAAAAAAAAAAGAACTACAGGATTTGCCTTGTGCAGCGTTGACTAGTTGAAAAATGCCCCGTTAAGCTTAAAACAACTGCACATAAGCATCACATACCTGGGTCTTCTCTACAGCGGCAGACCTCACACCCAGACTCGTCCTGGTCCAGACCCCAGTCACAGTGCATCCACTCACAGTCGGGCGGCCGGCAGATCGGCGTCTGGGCCTGCGCTGCTCGGAACGATACGGCATAGTCTGCGACAGAACAGCATAAAGTGCGTTAGCTTTTGGGACGGAAGTAATGTTTCGGGTCGCGCTAATATGTGCTAGGTTTGTATGTTTGGGTTCCAAAGTGAGTGGGCGGAGATTGGGTCTCACTTGATTGACAGGGTTTTGACCCGGTATGTCTTGTGTTCAAGGATGTTCTCGCAAGGAATGCATGTATGAATCATAAACCATGGTGTAATAGCGGGGTAATTTTCACCATACAATCGCATGAGTAATATTGCATTCCATAATGGTATTCATGTCTCTATTTTACGCCTCATAAATATTTCTATTAAGTAATTGTTTGACCCCCACTGACCTGTGCCGGGCGGTTCGCACTCGCAGACCTCACAGTCATAGTCGTCTGTGCGGTAACCATGGGGACAGTGGAGGTCACAGGTCAGCTCCTGACAGAAGGTGGGCAGACGGCGGGACAGCCTGTTCTGTTCCACTGGCACTGCAGACGATACACTGGTTATTAGAGTTTTAGACAAATTTTTGCACATCTAATATCTGTTTTGCAGAAATGGCAAAAATTCCTGTATCCTTTATATCAGCTACTGCAATGACTTTAAAAAATCCCTGTTTCCTACATGTCAACTGCTACCGCGATGACTAAATATTCACCGCAACAACAACGCCTAAGATCGCGCTCAATCTTGAACTTTTCATTTAAACAACTTTTCGACGGTAATTTCAAAAATCCCTTTTATAACAAAGAATGAAATACGCAGCCTATCGTCATCACATAATTATATACAGTCGAACCCTGGATATCAGACATAGCCTAACTTGTACAGAACCATGTATTGAACTATTGATCATAATTGATGCTGCCTAACCCCATAACCAATGCAAATTTGGTGCTAAATGGCTACTTAGCCTGCTGAAGGTTAAACTTATTTTACAAATACCTTCATCTTTACACGCGCATATCTCACAGCCGTAGTCGTCCTCCCTGTAGCCTCCCGCGCAGCTCAGGGAACAGTCCAGGTCCTGACACCCGAACCCGGAACTCTCCGGACCGTCCTCTACTCTGTAGAACAGGTACCCGCTTCCTAAATCGTTGTCTTCTTCTACTATTGTCTGTTCTGTCGTTGTTTCAGCCGGAACAGTCGTTGGTGCCATGGTTATTGTTGTAGCTATTGTTGTTGTTGTTGGTACTGGGGTTGTGGGGAGGAGGGTTGTTGTGGTTGGCTCCGCTGTCGTTGTCGTTGTTGTTGAAGGAATGTGTACTGTAGTTGTTGGGATGGCCGCTAGGAGGCGTATAGACAGAGATAGAAAATGTTGGTGATTCTTACAAAATGAAATGGGGAAAAACCTACATAGGTGGATCCACATATGATTACCTACAGTAGGTAACAATACGTTCAGAGAATCAGATAGTATCAATGATTATAACAAATGTTAACGGTTACTTACGAGTAGACGTCGTCAAAGATGGCGAGCAGTCATCCCCTGAGGATAAGAGATGTAGTTATAAACTTTTAGTAAACACCCCTCAGCAATATTCAACTATTCTTTAATCATCTGTTGGCGCCATAGGTGATTTCAAAATGGTTACATATTATAGCCATCTGATGATTTATGTCTTCTGACTAGAGAACTGCCTATAGCTATATTGACTATAAGGAGTAGCGTTATTCTGACCGTTATGTGGTGTGTTGGTGAGGCGGTTGTACGGAATGACACACACGGTGTACAGCTTCTGGTCCAGCCGTTTCCGAGTCTCCGCTGGGAGGGTGGGCTTTCTACCTGTAAAACAATTCACATTTTCACAACAAATCACTTAATAACTATAACATAACACCAATGGTTTGTACTTAGCGTCCCTCCTCAGTTTATAACGTCTGTAATTTTCTCTCTCATGACCAGTGGAAGATTAGCTAAAGCTAAGCTGGATCGAGATCTTTTTCTTTTTCCTTTCCCGACAAAGTTTTTTTTGTAAGAGACAAATGAGGTAGCATAACTTGATGCATTGTCTTTTGTTTGCTAGTGTACCTACTGAGTATCCAGGCGAGGTTCATGTTCCTCCGGCAGGTCCCGTCCGAGTTCCTGACCAGACAGTTGTAGAGTAGGGCGTAGTTCTGGTAGTCTGTGTCTAAGATCCACAGGTCACCTACGGGAAGACAAAAAAATCGACATGTTTCGTAATGGTTATGGTATTTGGCTCTGAACACATGCAGTGCTAGTGGGTTCAAACCCCTGACATGCCCCGACGGAAAGGCACTTTTCTTCACTTCACTCAGGTGAAATATCAGTACCAAACTTCGGTTTTAGACGTTCCTCGAATAGGACGTTAAATGGAGGTCCCGTGTTTGAGGAAGGCCACGTTATAGAACCCACCATGCTTATCGAAAAGAGTAAGGCTTCTTCCCTGTATAAGAGGTTCAAGTCTTACAATCCTATGGCCGCACCTGGAGTAATTGAAAACGCAGCTAGCTACATGTACCTGTTGAATGGATATGAATACACCATGTTCTTACCCTCGTCGAACGGGTAGTTGAACCCGGCGAACTTGTAGGTGAGTTTGGCGGGAGGGTCGTAACTGGTGGTCATCAGACGGCCTGGGATCATCAGCTGACACCGACCGTCACTTTGGAAACAGAAGGGGAAACGGTCGGAGTTCAACTTGTGAGACACTGGTGATACTAGCTGCTTTGTGAAATTTGTGTAACCCACGTAAAGCTACCTCTGTTTTCTGCATATTGTGTATTGTCCAGTTACCAGGCTAGTCCTTGAAGATGGACTCTTACTCAGGCTAGCCCTTGGACGAAGATGGACATTTTATACATCTAATAAATCAAATCTATATCTAGCTTTGTATTTAGAGCTGGTTCTTGTGAGTAACTATCGTATCTGCATTTCGAGGGAGCCCCGCATTGTGTCGCTGAGGTACAGCGAACAAACGAATGAATGGGTGATAAATAATGAGCGGACGAATGAATCTATGAATGAATAGACGATGTATGAATGGTTTACTCACAGTTTTCCGAAGTACGAGACGGAGGCGTCCCTGCCGTTGGGCTTGACGTTGAACACGAAAGCGCCCCCTATCGACACCAAGTCGGGATGGCCGCGGAAGGAGTGATGTCTGACCCGGGCGATTTCGTACCACTTTCCGCCGAACTGAAGGGACAGAGAATAGAGATGTTGAGACAAATTTCTAACTATAAAGTCCACATTTGTAAAGAAAACGCTTCATGTTTACCTTCACACGGCCTAGCTCAATAAACCACTGACCATTCTTACTCAAACATATTAACACAATAAACCAATATTCATATACATGTACATTTGTATACTGTGACCAGCCCCTCCAACGCTGTCCTGCCACTTGCTACATAGGTAAACATAAAACTATATTTCCATGAAGAGTAGTCGTGACTCGGTAGCCCGATTTAGGCAGCGTCCAATAGTCAAGGTTGTATCGTACTGTGCTTTCTATTGGATTCTGCCTTGGTCTACCGAAAGGGCTTCTTGGGGATCAATTCATTTTGCCCAGCCTTGAGAAAATTAGACAGTTTGGCAAAGACGTTTGGCTGCGAGAATGTTTATATTCAGTTAAGATGCCAAGGAAGGTTTAACCACGTAGACCATAAATTATCCTTATGTCGTCTGGTGCTAGTCTCAAAGTAGAGATTTTGGCTTCGACTTCGTTTTGGCTTCGTTTTATCGGGCTTTCGTCTTTGTAGTATTATCTTTTTACGGGTGGCCTATCGGGTACTGCCCTGTCACCCTGTCAATTTGATACTGCCCTGCAGCTACCTAAAATCTGCTTGGAGATTAGCCTGGTGCGGGAAGGACTTTAACTTTTTAAATGCCGTCTGGACAAAATTAGAGAAAGTTTGGCAGGCAGGTTCGGCTGTGAAAACATTTTTATCTTCAGCTATATTTAGTAACTGTTTAGCTTTTCATCTGACCCATGAGAGCGAAAGAAGATTGTCCTTCTGACATCCGGATTAGAAAAGACACATTGTAGCAGATCGAGGCTTGCACTGGATACATTGTAGGAGACTAACAGACACATACAAAGAGCCACATCAGGAAAGACACATTGTAGCAGATAGATGCTTCCACACACCAGAATAGACACATTGTAGCAGATAGCTGCTTCCACACTTCAGAATAGACACATTGTAGCAGATAGAGCAAGGAGGTTTAAAATGTATTTAACCTTCTTGGATATGGACGTTCACTAGATACACTGTAGCAGACGTTTCTACACATCATAATAGACACATTGTAGCAGAGTAACAGATACATTGTAGCAGAGGCTTCTACACATCAGATCCACTGTTTGTTGTACTTGTCGAAAAGGACTAGGGCTAGGACGGAACGACGAACCTGCATCTACTGTATATATCATCTGTCATTGAAAAATGCCTTAGAACTGGTTAGAGATCACTGCCGCGTTTTTGTGGCGTTTCTTTATTCATTTATTGTTTCATGTGGCGAGCTCACAGTGAAGCGAGAAAAAATCTAAGAAGACGCAGAAAATGCCCAAGAAAAAAAACGTAGGAAAACAAACCAAGGACGCTTCTCTTCGCTTTCATGTCACATTGACCTGTTTTCCAGGTGACCTCGGGGTCAGACACACATCCTTTAGGAGAATAAACCGATTTAACCTGTAACAGGCTTTTCAGGTTGCCAAAGGAGGAGAAATTGACCATATATGCTGACAGTGTCGTCAGACGAGAGGCTAGAATGTTCATCTGCTTGCTGACCAACTGTCCTCCTATCCAAGCAGGTATCATACTTGTATGTTCATTGCGTCATCAATCTTTAGTATCTTTAATCATAATCAATTTTTCCTCTCCTGGACGCCTACCTGTCATTTTGCCACAGGTAGACAACTAGGTGGGCCCTGAATGGCCCGGGAATGCCAGACTGAGACGAGAATGGAGCGAGTCAAGGGAGGGGTTCCTCCGTAGGAGCGATGATGCCCTGGATTGAATTCAATTGAGACAAATAACGGAGAGGTTGAACTCAAATAAACCCCAACACTAATAAACTCTGAAACGTGCCCGAGACTCTTATTTTTACTCCGCGTCCCAAATCGCATGGCACCCGCCCAACCCCGGAGCGACGTGCCGACAGAACCCGTGTGGGTGCGCGGAAACTCGGCAACATCCGTCACCCTGCCCCGGACACATAGCCTCTACCAGGCACCGCGGATCGCTGGAAAAATATTAGAAATTGGCCGAAATAAAGGGATAGTATACCAGAGAAGATCCAGGGCCATAGAAGCTCCACGGGTCGCAAATTGGAGCTTCTATGGCCCTGGATCTTCTCTGGTATACTATTCCTTTATTTCGGCCAATTTCTACTATTTTTCCAGCGATCCGCGGTGCCTGGTAGAGGCTTATAAGAAGCCGTGTGGGTGCGCGGAAACTCGCCACCATCCGTCACCCTGCCCCGGACACACGCACCCGGCCAGATGTGGGCCGTCTCTATGGTAACCGCGACCGTCCCGCGCCAGAATGTCGTCTGACACAATGACCGGAGGAGCGTGCTTAACATTTACTTTGGCCGGACCCGAGCAACTGGAGTCGGCGTGTGAGCGTGCCTGTGTCCCGGGGCGCCTGCCGGGGTCAGCCGGGGGAGGCGAAGTTTACTTTCGTCGGAAGTTGCTGCTAATGCCCCTGTCACATTGCACAAATCAATAGGCCGTACTCTCCAAGCAGAGGTTTCGGCTTAGGCTTATCTTTGACACGTTTGTAGGTGTTTGGAAAGGGGGGGGGGGCTTGTACTCTTCAAGCGATTTAGGCTCCAACTTATTTTTGACGTGCTTTTATTCGTTCGTCTAGAGATTTCTTTTTGTGCTGGCATCTTGCTTTCAATTACTGGTACTTCTTTTATGACGCCTCGGGTGGCATATAGGATACTGCCTGGCCAATTTGATACTAGTTTGTCAATTTTAACTTAATTGTGACCACGAAAAGATCTGCTCGCAGATTAAATGCCCCTGTCACATTGCGCGAAAAGCGCTTAGCCGACGAGCCTGTGGCCTCAATGTACTCGTAACATTTTCGGCAGAAAATACGCCCGGCTCTCTCTTTATTCTGATAGTTTGGTTTCTGTTCGTTTCTTGATTTCGTATATTTCATTAATAAATACCCTAGCAAGACGTGGGCTTCAAATACGTGTCCATGAAATTGGAACACGAGTCTTTAAATCCATAACTACCAGTCTTATAGCGATATTTTGAATTCCTAGAGATCCCCCCTTCCTGTCTATGACATTTACGATGGAGTTATCCTGGTAGCATCTTTATGGGCGATCTTTACGTGACTGCAATACAGTATCAAATTGGCCGGGCAGTTTCCTCCTAAATTTGCGAGGTTGTTGCCATCATAAAAAGATAGCAGTGCACAAAATGAAGCACTTAAACACGTGAAAACTAGGCCGAGACCTAGTCGTCTGTCTGGAGAGTATACCAGACTATCCTAAGGCCTGTCAAGAATAGCTTTAGAAGCTTCACACGAAGGGTCGTAGCACGTGGCCTGTGGGGTGAAGGTGGGAGGAGGGCACCAGACACTAACCCGCCCCCGTGTAACCTACACGTGTGGGGGCTCATGTCATTGTAGATATGGGGCCACAGAAAAGAGCTTTTAGCCTCTACCAGGCTTCAGTGGTGGCTGGAAGAAGTAGAAATGGACCGTTCCTGATCGAACTGATAGAACACCATAAGCCCTGCTCCTGTTCTATATATTTCGAACAGGGAGTTCGACGTGTTCGATCAGAAACGGTCGTTTGGCCAAAAATCAGACGGATAACATTCCAGGGGAGTTGGCCCGTTAAAGGAGTACAGTTTGTCGCTCTGAAAACCAACTCCCCTGGAATGTTATCTGTCGCTTTGGCGAACTTGCATTCTGCCCACTGAGCCTCTGAAGCCTTGTAGAGGCTAGGGATCTTTAGAAAGGATATAAGATTGCGCATGGGTCACGACCCGATGTCCTGTGAAGGGAAAGGTGGGTGGGAGTCCTAGGGCCTAACCCTCCCCCACATACAGTAACCTACACGTGCGTTACCTGCAGATGTAGGACTATATAGGAGATCCCATGATAAAGAATATGAGATTGCAGATGGGTCACGACTGTTCCTCACGACCCCATGAGCTGTGGGAGGAAAGGTGGGTGGGGGTGTACCAGGGTCTAAACCTCCCCCACATAACCTTCAGGCACACGTGTAAGGGCTCATGACACCTGCAGATATAGGAGGACTATATAGGAGATCCTCAGGAGAAACAATATAACATTGCCGATGGGTCACGAACGAATGTCCTGTGACGGAAAGGGTGAGTGGGGTGCCAGGGTCTGAACCTGTCCCACATGACCCACACGTGTGGGGCGCAGGGCTCACGTCACCTGCACAGGAAACCGTCAACTCAGCCTTCAGTCTGCCGAGGTAGCCATTTATCACCAGATTTACATTGGCTATGGGGTTAGGTAGCACTTTCACCGCCCTTTGACCCGCTCCCCAGGGGTTGATTGAAAGTCATACCTCGCACATTCTTGCAAGATAGAATCAAGACCCTGAAAGTCTAAGATTGTAAAGGTTATCATTCGGCCCCTTTCCACTGAAGGCTGCGATCATGCGTGTCAAATTGCCCATCGATGACAATTTCATCAGTCTAGTTTTCTAGAGTGGCGCAGCTACAAGTTTATAAACTTCAGGAACAGCAAAGTGCTGCCAAGATGTGCTGGTAGTTTGCACCTATTTAAATTTCTATGCATGTCCATGCCCGGTAGGCCGAATTCCGCCATGCCATTACTGCTAATATCAAAGAGGTTATTGACCCCAAAATTCAAGATGGCGGACGGTTAAGGAAACTTAGTTAGAAAACAAAAACCCACTGCTGATCCAAACATGTTGGCCATGTTTCATAGATTCTGAAACATTGTCGAGCAAGGGCTGGCGATGTGAGATATTTTAAATGACCGCATGTGACCCCAAATGGAACACGCGTTCGGTTCGAATCACCCAGATCGAACATAGTTCGGATTCTGAGAAGGTGGACGGACTTTAGAGCCCAAATTTGTCCTCCACTGTCAAGATTGTAGTGGTTTCAAGCTTCACCTACAGTGTGTATACATATAGCTGCGAAAGCAAGACCAATTTTACTATGTGTGCTGTTGGGAGGGACATGTATTCTGTATTGCCCCCTCTCCCACCTCAAGGTCATCTTCCATCAGTCCTAGTCGGAGGTGAATTTAGCGTGAAGGTCATGCTGGCTGGGCGACCTGTTACAAGTACAACATGGAATTACCTCTTCATAACCTACAGATGTGCCCCCCTCAGGGAACAGTAGTAATACATTATCACATTCTTACAGGTGGCCGGAAACACAACTTTTACAAGTCGCATAAAGGACTATAAAAATTCAAGATGGCGAACTGTGCACATGTGATTCTGTGATTCAATGTCAACTCTTAACAATAGAAAAACTTCGTTACTGTGCAAGTGAAAAGTTTGGTGCAATATTATCATTTCAGTATATGTTTACTTTTGACTTGTTTTTCTATCGGGCTTTCTTTTTTGTATTGGCATATTTTTGTTACGCCAGCCAAATGTGGCAAATGGTTATTGCCTTGCCAATGTCTTTGCAGCGACCAAAAGATCTGCTTGGATTGTGCGTATGAGTTATTGCCAAAGCAAAGTTGTCAGGAGCGCTCCTTTCTGATATTGTCCCACGCATCTGTTCTCACTCTCCCTCAGACTGGCGGAAACAGGACCCAAACAGCCTCGCCCCGGACCCCAACCCACCAGACGAGCCGGTAAAATTACTGTTCCTGACACTAAAGGTTACATATTTCATCAACTGTATTTATTTCTTCTTTCAAACGGCACATGTAGCGATCTTGTCATGTTGGTTTTCACGATTTTGCCATGTGTTTCTGGTCGGTGAAAGTCGCACGGTTCCTGGCTCGCCGTTTGCCCCCAATCCTCGTACCTGTCAGAGTCTCCGCCCGACATCCCTCAGAATTTAGCGCCGAAATCCAAGACAGGTGCGAAGTTCAGCCCCGATCCGTAGATACCATCAACAAAAGTAGCGGAATAATTGAGAACAGATTAGCCGGGCGTCAAACGTACATACCGCGGTAATACAGTTGCACACAGACCGCTCGACATGTAAGCTCCGCAGTCGTTAAAGTTTTAAGATAAAAGCTCAGAAATGAGTCTCGCCAGTTGTGGGACTTGTTTTGAGCAATCCTACAGGATAACGTGTGGAATTTTAATGGATGAAACAATATATTACAGATAAGACATCATAGATAACTTGAAATACAGAAGCATGGATGTAAGTAGCTAGATTAAGAGATGATGAGAAGTCAAAATTGTCGTTTAGAAACAGCTGTCACTAGAAAGGTATGTTGATAGATCATCATCTATACGTCTGTTCCACCTAGCCTCTATCAGGCTTCGCAAGCAGCTGGAAGACTAGTAGTGCACGTGCGGCAAATGTACCGTACTCCTTTAGCGGACCAACTCCCATGGCATGTTATCTGTCTATGAGGCCAATTACGGCTCTTCCGAAGCCTGATAGAGGCTACTCACTTTCACTGGAGTCAAGTGAGGAAAGAAGGGGCCAATGGTCCTTAAAATCCTTATGGATCATCAGCGACAAGTGTTGTGGGTCCTGTAACGTCCTAACAAATAAGAATTAAAACTGCAAACGTTGATGAATGTTAGACATCCAGGTAAGCAATACTCACAGGAAATTCAAACTCTACTACTAATATTTACTGTTAAATGTAGCAGTGGTTTTAGTATCCGTTATCTCCGTAATTGATCCAGTTGTAGAGTTTGAATTTCCTATGAGTAATAGGTGCAAAGTGCCTCTCCCAAGGGTCCTTACAGATAGACCATCAGAGATAAGACGGTCCCAGCCTGTGCCTGTGCCCTCCCGTAACCCGACGCCCGGTCCTTGGGGCAGAGCAGTGAGAGTAGCGGGAGATCCCGGGGCGGATTATGGCTGACATTTTGGACAAATTAGCGGGAGTGAGTGTCCAGCGGGAGGGTCGGGTGGTTTGGATCAGGAGTTTACTAGTCTCTACCAGACTCCGGTGGGTTCTAGAAAATATAGTAAACACTGTATGTATTGGAAGTAGTTTGACCAGATTCCGGCCATGCCTATCCTTCTATACGAATAAAATCGAATCGAATTTTAGTTAAATTTGAGACAAATTTCACTTCTAACCACGCCCGACCTACTTCCGATCACCAGCCAACCACTACCCAACCATGGCTGAACCTCCCGTCCACACCCGAATGTTTTCAACATTTTGAAGCACTGGCTGGCGCACTCTAGCAGTAGCCGACCTGACCGAACACCAGCCAACCACAACCGACCTTGCTCCCGACCTACTCCGAACCATGGTTGGGAGGAGTTCGGGTCATTTTCAACTGTGTGACAAGGGCTGAACTCACAGTACATGTCCTGCATGTTTAACACAGAACGCGTAACCTTCAGTATGTCAAACAGAGTGACTCCTTGCCTCGCGACATCCTCATAAATAAACTGTGATTAAACCCAGTCTTTGGGTGACTTCCAAATGGAATATACGGATCTCCCCACGCCGTATTGGACACGATGAATACTCAACCCCATAAATAACACTTGAAAGGCCCCTGGTTACTAAAACGGCTTAGCATTTTCTTTTAAAATCCGAAAAGACGAACTCTCTGTGTATACATACACGCGTGTAGGGATGGCTAATGCAAAGGGATTTCCAAGTGATGATCTTGAAATGGGCTTCTAAAACCTAACACGTAAAAGTGCCAAGATGGTTTAGTCATCTTAACGACGACATGCTTCATTTTAACACACTCATCCCCAGCCTTTGTTGCCTTGCCCTTAAAACTGGTACCAGTTAACTTTGTGTTAGACACAGGGTGCAAATTTCATTACTGTAAGTCTGTGTGGCCCTGAAGTTGAAGAGCCGGGGGAGAGCCTAGCCTGGGTGCCAGACTGTTTCAAGGGCGTAAATAGGCCAATTCCTCGACTCCAGCGCCTACATGCCGCAGGAAAATTATACCACAGCCCCCTCAGTTAGGCCCTCCTGATTGTTAACTCTGGGCCTTGCGTGTTAGGTGTCTGGCATCCAGGCTATAGGGAGAGCCGGGGACTTGTGGCCTCGCGCCAGGGTAGGTTCCCCAGGGTCGCTTTACCGATTTATGAGAGTAAACCAAACCAAGACATACAACTTATGTCAGACATCATGACAACTAAAATGTGGGCTTACGTAATACCAGGTGGACTTATTATATCAGTAACAGGCACATCTTTCTATCCGAGGTTTCTGCCTGTCTTAGACGCTTTAACAGGAGTTCTGTTTTGTATTGGCGTCTCTTTTTTTTAAGGCCAGCCAAATTTACTCCTTCGGGTGATAAATGGTAACTGCCTGGCAAATGGATACTGCCTGGCAAATGGATACTGTCTTGCCAATTTGATACTATCTTGCAGCTACCGAAAGATCTGCTTGGAGATTAGGCACACCTCATGTTGGTAAGATGATCACAGGGAGGCCCTGACGACCCCCAGGTTTCCGCGAGGTTGTCACAGAAAGGTGCGAGTGACTGTCGACGGCCTTTCACCCAGTCGTGTCAAACCTGCACCCAAGATTTCAAGCGAGAGCACTGTGTTTGTATACAGGACAGTTCTCTCCAAGCAGAGGTTTAGGATTTGGATTATGTCTGTTTTAGGTGGGTTTTTTTTCGGGGTTTCTTTTGTACCTGTATCATTTTTTACGCGAGTCAAACAAATGCTTCGCGTGGCAAATGTTAACTGCCTGGCAAATGGATACAGCCTGGACAATTTGATACTTACCCAGCCTGGATCAGCTTGGAGATTATACAGAACCGTACCCATAGCCTCGCTCATACAGACATAGAACGCGTATCAAGAACCTGGTCTGGGGCAAGTCTACGTTCTTGGATACGCGGAGACTATCCAGAACTGTACCTGATCCTAACCTTAACCCATTCAGGCATAGACCTAGACAGACACGGTTCTGGAAACGACGCACGTCCGAGCTTGGAGGGTATTTGAAGAAAGCAGATATTAAACCATACTCTGACAAGCGGTATCAGTCCACGGTGGGATCTATGATCTGTGTGTGCGGACCGAACAAGTGCTAGAACAACAACATCCCAACTTCCTACCTTGGCGAGGTTGAAGTCCTCCTGGACGGGAATCCTGTCCACGATGCACATTCTCCGGCGCACCTTCCTGGCTCCCCCCGTCCGGAGGTAACTCTGAGCCGGCACGGTAAACCAGACCAGCGCGGCCAGCCACAGCACACGGTGTGAAAACCTGGCAGACATGTCAGGAGTACGATCAGACCGAATTAAACCCCGAAACGACAGCAAAGTGGAATCAGGCGCCCTCCTCTTCTTAGAAGCTCCCGCCGTGCGTTTCTTCCCGTTTAATTTTAGACCGTATTTACGACGAGGCCGCCTCGATTCGCCGTCGGTAGGCGGGGCTTCGTAACCAGGGGCAACCAGAAACTTTTCCCGCGCGAAGCTGAGACAGAGAAAGGCGGATGTGTACGGCCACGGTAAGCGCCGTCGCTCAGACAAAATAAACAAACGTTGGGAGAAGGAGAAAGTTTTTGAAACTTTTCCAGAAGAGAAGCCGAGACACGCGCTGCGGGCGGTGCTTGTTTTGAAGACCTTAAAGTTGACGAAAAGGTCGAGCTATTCACAACAAGCGGCCGTGCACTCCCCCGCCAGACCGGGGTTTTGTAATAAAGAACGGGAGATTTATGGTAAACTGAACGACTTGCCCCACTTTCCGCCCACCCGGTCCGGCCGTTAGACAGGTGGCCCTGTTGCCGCGGGCCGGTTCTGGGTGAGTGTAAGGCAGGCGTCATGCTGCTGTAGGAAAGGCCAATGTTGGAGAGACTCCCAGGTGGGGACATGGCTCCAGGAAATGACTGCTTTCCTTCCTGTTCGCATCAGACAGGTTTCAAAGGGAGCATTCTTACTTCTAAACTTTTTTTTTTATTTAAATCAAAACACGGCGCGGGCACATAAATTCGTCGGAGGTCGTCCTACGATTTTTGATGAGGTGGGATTTTCAAGCAGACTTTGACAGAACCAACCACGGACACGGATCTAAATTCTAATACAGTCAGAAAACATTAAACGTGGCTATTCCAAGAAAGCGACCTTATGACGACTGTGTGACAAGATGTATTTACGACATTCGTCGTAGGTCGTCCTACGATTTTTGACGACGTGGGTTTTCGAGCAGGCTGTGACAGAAACAACAACCGACAAGGATCTAAAACGACCTCTTCCTTTAGAAGGCAGCGGGCAGAATTTTGCAGGACACGGGCACGACTGTCCTAAGACCGTTTAGTACGACAATCGTTCAATGATCGCACGAACCCATTGATCTGCAGGGCATACAAAATATAGCTAAAATCGTAAATATATAGTATCTTGTTATGATATTTCGGAGTATTTCTAAGAGTACGTGATCGCATTGTTCAATTCTGTAATATGCCAAGTCTTGTAGAAACGCTGCACTATATCTGCTACCCTTACGCAAGATGTGAAATGCAGTTTAATGACATGTCGCTAGGGGGCCTCGCTTCACTGTCGCTGCCTAATCTCCAAGCAGATTATCCGGTGGCACCGTTATGGATACTACGAAACTAGGGTCAGTAATTGGCCAGTGAAGTGAGGTAAGGGTAGCATTCCAGCCAAATGATCTCCATGGTAGTAAAACCTCTCTTGGACATTGTGCTATTTTTTTGCTCTTTTTCACTGTGTAGTCTGGTTGCCTTGTGGAGTCTATGTAAAACCTTTGCACATCTAACTCCAAGCATTGCTATCATTGCCCTTGGTAATATTGAGTTCCACTCTACGAGAGTTTGACAGTTTCATTTTAGTTAAGACTTCTTGAGCCCAGACTGATTACGTATGTACCTTCAAGGCGTCTATCTTGACAGCGGACGAGTAGAAATATACGGGAGATCAGAGGGATTGCTGTTGTCAAGTTGACTCTAGTTCTTACAAATGTCTGCAAATCGAGCGTGGCGAAATTCGATTTGGTTTCAATCCGACTCGAGACACGGAGTCGTGCATCTTCTGCCCGGGGAACTCACGGAACTGATTTGAAGCTTTATCAAACGGGAAGCCTGTGTTTGGGCAGACACTTACCCCGGGCTCTGCGGCGAAATGGGCGCTATAATGGAAGTTATTTCTGCAGGAAACAGCTAGCTTTTCCATCTTAGATCAATGAATGAATGAATGAATGAATGAATGAATGAATGAATGAGTGAATGAGTGAATGAATGAATGAATGAATGAATGAATGAATGAATGAATGAATGAATGAATGAATGAATGAATGAGTGAATAGATGAATGAATGAGAGTGAATGAATGAGTGAATGAGTGAACTGATGAATGAATGAGTAAATGAGTGGATGAATGAATGAATAAATGGATTAGTCGAAGAATGCAAGACCTTTACTATACTGTACGTTTGTGACCTCACAAACGAGGTACAGGTCATTATGATAATAATTAATTGCCAATAATTGATAAAACAAAATTACAATAATGTGAAAGAATAGCTGCACACAATAATAGAACATTATTTTTTGTTTGTTTTCATTTCCCGTAAGTATCCGCATTTTCTTATTAGCTTTAGGCTACAAACATATATTACTTTCAAATTAATAGGATTATAATAGGTGGTGGGTGGTGTACGCATACAAACAAACAAAATATGCGGGGAACTGCGGGAGATGTTTACACATGAGTCCGTGTCTATTCCGATAAGCCTGATGAGGATGGAAGGGGGCTTTCCTGCAAATCTCTCTTGGGAAGATACCTCTCCACGGTATCAAAACAGCTTCTCCAAAACACGACACGGTTATAATAGGATCCGAGTGTTCACGCGACGCTCAGTTAATGTGCGCTAATCCCACCATTACCAGCCAGTCACAAACACGGTGTTTTACCGTCGATCATTCTTTTCAAACTGTTTGATTTCTTTCCGCTCGTCAGGCAATCTTCCTCCCGCTTGATCCCCACTTAAGCCTCTTGTACCTCCCTAAAGACAGCGGTTAAGTCTCGTCTGAAGGTGCGGTAGCGATTAGGGGGACCTGGGGGAGATGCAGCGTAGCTTATCTGTTGTATTTTTTTGCTTCAATTAGCTCGTGAAGTAAGCTTGAGCGGTCGGGAGGTACCTCATCAACTTTGTTTACACATTCCCCTGTTAATTTGCATATTTATCACAGTCTCTGCTGATGTTGCGTATATTATAATCTTTCCTACCATATTTACTGTCAGACAAGACAGATCACGTGAACTATCAAGCCCGGGGTAGCGTTTTTCTTATCTCTTTCAAAGATAACAATTAGCACGAACGGCATTAAACACCTCATACATCACTAGTAAGAGTGGCGTCGTTTACCCCAAAAGTTAATAGTGATTCCTTCTGCCTGTATTGATGATCCATCAGTCTGGTAACAAGTCCTGTATTTCTTTGGTTCGCTGCTCAACATTATGTAGTACAATCTATACGCAGCAGAAACTCATGAAATCTGTAGGAAGGCTTGAGACGAGGCTACACGCACATGTCATGTAGAATGACTATTGTAATCTATAGTAGTAGAAGACCTCACAAGAGCTTAATGTACTTTTGTTGTGTCAATAAAGTACTCTTTATGATAAATTATCTCAACATTCTTGTACCATATAGGTATAAATTCATCCAGAAATCATCCTTTCCTACAGCATGAAACAAAAGCCTGTCCTTTTTTTGCTATCATTTGGTATTAAAAAATGTTACAATACTTACTGACATCCCGATTCATGTGCATTGTCTGTACAACAAAGGTCATGATTTGATTTGGGTAATCAGGACCATTTTGAGTTTGACCCGATGACCTCAAAATAATACAGGCCGTCTGATTGGTCGACCACAACCAATGGTAGCGTTTGTTACACAGATGGCTCAACGGTCACTACGGATCGAAGATGTCGCCAAGTGGAGCGCCAAACTTGAACTTTCTTCAACACACACTTGTCTGGTAAGTTTAAGGTAAGTTAGAGACATGTTGGCGATAGCGTATGTGTGAGAAACTCTAAGTCGGATGATGACAGTACCTGTTGTGCCATGTTTTACAGATACTTGACGTGACGTGGGAGGGGGGAGGGGGGCGACAGTGTCACAATGAACTGTTGCAACAACAAACTTTGCTTTATATTCTTGCATGACTTTGGCGCTCTCTATGTCACTGCTAGCGCGCGCGATTCGTATTTCCCAATGTTTTCAGCATGTAGTTAGAGAATGGGAATGCATGGGTGGATGGATACGAGCGATGACTATGGCGTGGAGGTGCATTGTAGGCGAAATTGGGTGGTACTTGGGTAACTTGCCTACCAATAATTTGCATATGCCTACCAATGATTTGCATATGGCTACCGATAAGTTGTATATCACTGGAATTGATGTTAACAAAAACCATGATCGCTCGTATTTTGAACTTTATTGTCCGACAATCATACATGGTATAACAAAACAACAATAACGACGACAATACATCCAAACACTAATTTATATATTCACAACAATTATACTACAAGACGGATGCATTCTACACACAACACGACAAGCATTTCGATATCTTTTTAATCATAATTTATGAACTGCAATATTTTCATCTACAGATGAATGGGTTGAATCCTTGCTTTAGGAAAGAAGAATGTAACTTGGAGTTGGGCATGATAATAGTAAAATGAAATTATCAGTCTGTATTATGTAACTGGGTAAGTTATAATTGGTTGTATCAATAATTGTCTCTCCATACTCTTGAGCAGGGTACGTGATCAATCGAATGGATGATCCCACCTGCAATGGGGCTCAAAGGTGCCTGGGAGGTCCAACTTGGGGGTCAAAGGTTATTGGGAAGTTCCATCTTCACAGTGTGGGAGGGTGGGGGTCAAATAAAGGTGTTTTGGAAGCCCTATGTCTCTTCACGGCATATATGCATTGGGTATCATCATGGAGGGTCGGTATCAGAATGTCACAAATGCACAGTAGCGGGTAAAACAAGTGATTCACAACGACTCTGAATGCTTCACGGAGGTGTGGAATTTGCGATGTCTTCTTCCAATTACTTTCATCTAACGTATTTTCATTAGAAATCACAGCGTGTGCCAGGGTCTGTGTCAGTGCCGGCCATGAAATCTTATTAGGCCCTGCAGGCATCCTGGATAAAACGGGCAACGTAATAAAGTCGGCAGGACGAAGACATTCGGCTTGCCTTGGGGAAGGAGGGGCTGTAATTGATAATCCCGTTATCATGGGTTTACCCCGTGCTGGGTTAATTAAACTGAACTTTTGCTGCGGTCT